AGTTTGGGCCAACCCTATTGGGCAGACCTAGTCCGCACACGTTTAGGTAGCCTTGGCCCAAGCCCACTTGGGCTAGTCCTGCCCAAAACACTCGGGGCCAGCCTTGCTCTGCTAAGTCAACCTAGTGAGCAAGGTCAACCCAGCATGGACCCATATGCATCTAGGTCCGTCTCTTTCACCTAACTGCAGACTCGATTCCTTATCCGGGTTTGCAACAAAACCCCATTGCAAAAACTTGAAAAAAAAATAACTTAAAACAACTTACCTCGATCAGATCAAGACCCAAGTTGTAGCAACAAGATAAATGAACCAGATGTTGGCTTTTAATCAGAGAAAAACCTAATCAATCAAACCAAAAACCCAAAAAAAACCCCCCGCCACTTGTGAACCTCCGTCGACCAAGAAAACCTTCAATTTCTCTCACTTCCTCTCTAAAACTCTCAATAGATAAAGGGCAAATGTGTATACACTTGCCTCGCTCACAAACAACCTATTTTGCAACCTAAAACCTACCAAAAATCATCACGGAATGGGCTGTAGAATGTTTAGTCCACTGTTGGACTGAACTTGCGGGCTTTATTCCAAATACAGTCTCCCTATCTTTTGTTTCTTTTAATTTCTCCCTTTCCAGTTCTCAATTGAGCCTCGATTCTCTTAATTCCTTCGATTTAGCTCTCGAAAGTTTCAACTGAGCCCTAAACTTATAATTTATGCAGAGTAGTCGCTCTATTTACACTTTGACCCCAACTAAGTATAATTGTTACAATTAGACTCCTATTCTTAATTAAATTAAAATTGGGCCATTACAATACCGATTATAAAAATCTATAATTCAAAATAAATGAATTAGATATAGAATTAAACAATTCGATCGATTAAAAATTTATATATGAATTTTAATAATATTCTTATTAAATTGATAATGATATATAAAATAAATTCGCAGTTATAGGGTATAAATTGGGAAAAATCAAAACATTGATAAACCAATATAATTGATGTAAGAGAATTGAGGGATTTAAATATAAAAGAGTATTAGTTGTTAACTACTATGTCATCTAAAACTTCGAACTTGTAAAAAGATAAGTAACTTAATTATTTGTTACTTAACATGCCCCTTCTCATGTGGTCAGGTTTTATAATCACAATATAGTCAATATGTAAAAAAATTTATTTGTAGGTAGCGAGATATGAATAAAGAACATTTGCCAAGTCTAATATTATGTTAAACTATTAACTACCATTTCATCTAAATTTTTTTTTTATCAGATTTCAAATTATTTATCAGATTTGTATATAGTTTAATAGATATATATCCTATAAAATTTTAGATCAAATTTAAATATAAAAATATATAATTAAATTTAAATTTAAATTTATCTAATTTAATTTAAATTTAACTCGTTCAGTGCCTAATATTTACGAAGTTAAAGGGTTGAGAAATGATAAAAGTTATTAGGGTTTGTCTAGAGTCAGTCAGGAGTTGTACTAGATACATGTGAGTCAATTAATTTACAACCATTGATTATGATAAAAGATAATCTTAACCAATTAACGAGTACATCCAATTTTAAACAATAAATGCACTGTATTCGATAAAATGACTAAAACATCCTTTCTATTTTTATATAATTTTATTTCTTTAAATAATAGATAAACTATATTAAAATTTTTTTTTTTTTCACTCTCTATTATTTTTTCTCTCTAGAATATCTTTGGATGTGTTACTCCTAATAAATTATAAATATTTATTGATATATCATTATTAAATATTTAATTATTAAATTTCTAATCTTTTTCGAATGCCTTCAAGAAATTTATTACTAATGGCTTAGCTTTAATTTATTTAATATAATATGTAATAATATGCATTTAATTATTAATATTAGCAATATTTAATTATTAGTATTATTAAAATGATAATATTCATTCATATGTAATATAAAGATCAAAATGATAAAAAGAGAGAAATGTGAACTAAGTGAGATAACAAAAATATGCATTAAAGATAGAAAATTTTTATAAGAAAATTTGAATAAATAAAAATATGCATTAAAATAACCAAATAATAATAATATGTAGTTTATATCCAAAAAAAATAAAAAAACTAGCATGCAAGCAGTTAAAATGTTAAATTTGAATAATTATTCATCATTTTCTTGGGAGAAAAAAAAAACTTGCAAGATTTGTTTAGTATAATCCAATATATTTGATCTGCAACAATTTGTATTCAAATTAATAAATATTCATTACACTCAATATTGGCAAAAATAATTATATTTAAAAAAAGAAACTTGACACTTAAATTAAAATATAAAACTCTAGGGAAAAAATTTTAAAAATCAAATAAACAAAAAAACATAATTATACAAATAAAAAGTTTAAAATTATGCATTAGTAGTCATTTTTAAAAAATTACTTATTTATGAACACTGTTGGAGCCATGTGTTTTTAAGGGGGTCCCCCACCATCAAATAATTTTTTTATTATTATTATAATATATATTATATAAATTAAAATTTTGCTTTCCCAAGGAAAAAATTTAGCCCTTACACAGTATATATATACGTACACGTAATGACTTGCACAAAAAAAATAAATTAGAAATTTATTATAAAACTAAAACAAATTCAAAGTTATAAAGCGAATTAAGAGTTTAAAAAAAAAGAATAATAATATTGAGAGATTGTTTTAAGCTAATAATAAATTTATGGAGATCAAAAAGTAAATCTTTATACCAAAATAGTAACCAATACATTATTCACTTTCTTCTTATACAATTGATCGTCTATATTTGGAAGAAATAGATTTTTGCTTTGCAATTTAAAATAAGAAAGTGCAAAAATAAAAAAGAATGTATAATTACAATATATTAACTTAAATTTTTATATATTTGACTTTTATATTTTTGCTCATTTATACTTATATATTGAATGCATTAGTGTTTATAAAGTATAGAGTATAAATGTGGGACACTTCATTTCAAGAATGAAATGTGAATAATTTAATTATTTTCAATTAAAAAAGTTTAGATTTCTATCACATTTTTTATTTTCTAATTATTTGATATTATTATTTTTTTTCTTTTCCTAAAAAATTGTAATCATGTAAGAAAGTTGTGATTTTGTGATTTTTTTTAATTTTAGAATAGTATGAACTTAAATAATTATAATTTAGACATTTTATATTTATTTTGAATAATCAATTGATGGTGTGTTATATTTATTATATATATAATATATATTACGTAATTATAATATCATGGTTCAATTAACGGTCCAACTCGTAAACCATGATTGGTAAATCTTTTGATTTAATGAGTGGTCTGATTTTTATAACCTTGATTAAAAGCACTCAGATATTGAAAAAATTAAATTAAAATTTTATTTTAATAACTTAAAAATATAGATTATTTAATATTTTAGCTATGCCGGATAGTATTAAATATGTAATGTTAATCATGAAAAATGAGTACCTATTAGATTTTGATACTAAATTAATTTAAGTATTGAATTCTTATATAATAAAAATTAAAGTTTTATGTGATAACTTTTAATTTAATTAAATATATCTTATTTCAATCAATTTTAGTAATTAGTAATAAGTAAAATGAAATTTACATTAATATATAATTATTTTTCTATACTTTGAATTAAATATTAAATATTTATAAAAATATATAAATTAAATATATTTAAATAAACTGTAAATACATGTTATGTATATTCATACTAAAAAATTTAGATTTTTTATGAGAGATATGCACAATTTAATTACATTGTTCTAATTAGATCCTTTAATAGTGAGTAAAATAACAAAAAGATTTAAATAAAAAAAAGACACCAAATTATTTGATTTAATTTTGTGTCTTTGATCTTATTTCAATTAATTTTAGTAATTAGTAATAAAAATATTTAAATGTTATATTTTTATATACTTTTGAATTTAAGAGATTAAATCTTAAATATTAATAAATATATATGCACTTAAAAAAATTTAAATACATTTTATGCGTATCCAAATTAAATAATTGAATTATTTCAATTTACAGTTTACTAAAATTAAATTTTAGAAAATAAATATGAGAATATATAGAAAGAAAATTTAAAAATATTACGTCACTTAATATTTTGAAAAGTTAATCTAAAAATATATAGAGAGAAAGTAGGTAAGAGAGAGATTCATGGTACTAATTAATTAGATGTATTTTAATTATTTTATTTAATATATTTTTAAATAAAAATGTATTAAATAAAGAGTTAAAATAAATTTTATTAAATATCAATAATTAATAATAAATATTTTACGTTAATCAGTATAAACTTAACTGATTATAAACAAACCAAGTTATTAACACACATGCACGACTTATAGAAGAAGAAATTGCCAGCAAAAGAAGGTATAAAGGGTAAAAGATCACAAACATCCGTTCAAAGGACAAATTGGTTGAATTGCCATGAAATGCCGCCTCTTTATTCCTGTTCTGTTCTGTTGAGAATGGAAGACAAAAAGAAAATTTTGCCATATTAGGAAACTCTATCAGAAAAAGTAAGGGAGAATACTGGCATGAATTGTCCCCGTCTGCATTTTGGAGAGGATACATTCCTACCCATCCCGTGTGCCATATTTGTCGAGGATACGTGACATTTGCATAGGTGGTATATCCATCCAATTTCAATGAGGATGATTCGGTGCCTCTCTCCATCCAAATACAAACGTGGCTTCAAACTGTTGTGCTCAAATCTCGATCACTACTCAAGTCATCGGTTCAACTTAACAAACTTGCCTTTGAGCTCCCTGCACGCCATTTCAGCTAGGTTATCTCTTCATTTCAACAAATATATACAATCACATTCAGTCCAATCTCCAAAAGTTTGGCCTTATTTCCTCCGAGCCTGCTTCAAATCCCAGTTTTTCGCTTTTCAAGTCTCTGGAAACAGTAATAATTGTTTGTCTAAGTCCTGCCCTTATGGAACCCATATTGGAAAACCTCATAATAGTGCGATTGGGAATGGTGGGTTCAAAATTGGCTGGGTCGAAGTGGAACGAGAGGCTTCAGCGGTGAATCGGACAGAGAATCGATCAGTTATGATGTAGTTATTGTTGGAGCTGGACCTGCTGGGCTTTCAGCTGCTATACGATTGAAGCAATTATGTCGCGAGAAGGACGTTGATTTATCCGTTTGCGTCGTGGAGAAGGGCGCCGAAGTCGGTATATTTCCTAATTCCTCCGTCGATTCTTCGTGTCAAATATTGCTCGTGTTTTAGTTTTCTTGCCCACATAAGAAAATCAAGACATAGGTCCTTTAGAGGAAGCGGTGACACAATATAAACCCAAATTGGGTTATCATCGTTTTTGCAATAGACACAGTTTGGAAAGGGTTCGAGACGTTGACTAGAAGCTTTTGTTTGGTATGGATGACGGGCAGGGAGTAATATTTGGATTCTGAATTCTTCATCGTTGCCTTAAAAATTCCTTGTTCTAATAACTATATCGACTTGTCTTTTTTTCTTTCTTCTTTTTTTTCCCCTTAATTTTATATATCTCATTTTAGAAGCTGCGTAGGATATAAGAAATTTATTCAACTACAGCGCTGGGAGAAAACGGCACTTCTCGTGCACACTTCATTTTTCCAAGAAGGAATGTCTTCGCTAAGATTGGGGCTTAATTTATCTTTTATAGAATTTTCATGAGATCTACCATTCCTTCAGTTTCACTGAGCAACCCCCCTCCAACACCGAAACAGTGAAACTAATGGTGTTAGGTTTGGGGTAGCTGTATTTGAATGTAGAGTGAATTCTTGTATATTGTACTAGCTCAGATTATGAGCTTGGTAGGCAATAAATATAAATAATGAATATATGGAGTATTTATACTTTTTCCAACAACTAATGAAATCAGGAAGATCTTTGGTTTGATATTATGAGGGGAAAATTGCACTGATGGTTAAACAGTGAACAAATAGGAGTACAGGCAGAATAAATGAAATTTCTTGCAAGATTCATCATCATTATGAAATACATGATAAACAACCTCTTGAAGTGACTTCAGAATTTTTAGATTCATCATTGTTGACTTTTCCTACTTATAATCCTAGAGTTTTATGACCCAATACTTTACTAACAAGCATTGTTTCTTACCATTTCTATTTTTAATGGGACTATAGGTGCTCACATATTATCAGGAAATGTATTTGAACCCCGGGCACTAGATGAACTTTTTCCAAAATGGAAGGAGGAAGAGGTACTTTCTGCCTCTCTGTCTTGTTTGTCCTACTTTTATGTATACTGAAGAATATTGTGCTCCATGTGACATCAGTTTGAACACTTAAATATTTACATGATGATCACCTATATCATGAAAGGTGGACAGAATGATGTTGTCCTCCTCATGAACCTCGATGAAAAGATCATGAAGAATTCACAACCTCACTTTGAATCTTATTAGAATTCTGTAAATATATGTGATTTAGAATTTGTCTTATGGAAGGACACCAACTATCAGGAGCTTAAGGTTTCTTGTGATTCATTTTCCGTCCAATTTTATTTGTTAAGGATTTACATTTCTTGTTTTAAGTAATTTGAGTTGTGGTAGTATTTCTTTTAGATGGCAACCGTTATAGAAAGTAGATTATTTTAGAATCCTACATTGATGGTTTCCTAATTTCCAATCCAATTAGAATTAGTAGTAGGTCTACTTTGTGTAAATCTAATCCTTTGACTTGGTGTAATTATGTTTTAAGTTGATCCCTTGTGAAGGTGGCTGCACCTCTCCTCCTTCTTCGCTTCTTTCCTCAATCTCTTTCTTCTGCTGTGTGCTATATCAATATCTCATCTTTTCAACCTCCAACCCTATCTTCTCAGCCTATATTTTAAAACCTTATCCTTTCGCTATATCAATATGAATATGACGCACCACTTAAATCATGTATTTTAAACTATCAATGGTTGATCACTTCTCCAATGTATTTGAAATTGGTGTTAAAGAAATAAGGACCTCTGTTTATGTTCTTGTTGCGGGCTAGTTTTCTGAACGGGCTATTATTCCCTGTGGATATAATACGATGATATGTTTGATAACAGAGTTTTATGTTGTCATTTCCATTTGCCCTTTAATCCATTGATTTATACAATCTTGGAATAATTACTATAGTTTGAATTATGTTGCCATGGTACCACCTTCTGCTATTAGAGTTTGAACTATGTTTTCTCATTGAACTTTATGCAGGTACCCATACATGTCCCTGTAACTTCAGATAAGTTTTGGTTGCTCACCAGGACTCGTGCAATTTCCCTTCCATCTCCTTTCAATAATAGAGGAAACTATGTCATAAGGTATTATATATTGTTGTAACATAATTGTGAAATGTAACTGACAAAAGTAGGTTTTGTTCAACTAAATTGACATCTGGAATTATCTAGGAACCTTGGATAATTCTCAGGACTTAGTGATTTTTCATTTTATGTTTTTTTTTTAACCCCTTAGAACCTTTGGATTTTCATTTCATTTTCTTGCTCTCTCCTTTCATTCCACGAACTGAAGGCAGGGGATAAACCTTCATTTGGAAAAGGTGTATTGTATTTTCTACTATATGAAAGAATTTTTTTATTTTTTATTTTTTTTTGAGGGGGTTGTTGTTGGACAAGGGTAGTGCTTGGTAGGATAGCAAGAAGACGAAGGAGGAAGGAAAATTTGTAGCTGGATGGTCATTGCCATTAGCCACCAAAACGAAATCTCATAAATACATTTTTTTGCTTCTTTCCATTAGAAACATATGGTTATTTTGGAACATTATTCACTTTTTTATGATATCAATATTTGGATGCATGTTACTATCATAGATCTCCTGGTGCAGTTTGAGTCAATTAGTCCGTTGGTTGGGGCAGAAAGCTGCAGAACTGGGAGTTGATATATACCCAGGCTTTGCTGCTAGTGAGGTGCTTGTGAAGTTTATTTGGTCATTTTAACATCTTACATATTTGAATGTTGTATATTAAGATGTTTTTTAGTTTTCCAGATTTTATATGATAATAATGAGAATGTAATTGGAGTTGCAACAAATGATATGGGCATTTCCAAAGATGGTTCAAAGAGGGACAATTTTCAGCAGGGTGTAGAATTGAAAGGTAGGTCGTGTTACTTTCTTTTCCATTCATAAGATCTTTCAGGTTTTGTATGCCTGCTGCATTCACTGTTCTTCTTTTCTGAAATATTACTTGCTGATGGCCATATCTCTTTTTTGTTCCTTTTTAGAAGTGATTTTTTTTTTCCTTCATAAAATTGATTAGTCGTTATTTTAGTTTATGAGAGTGACATTGGTGGGGGAACCTTCCAATAGAATGGAAATTTCCAAGTGCAGTCAGCTTTCATGTTTAATTTGGCAAATGGTAAAGGAAATGCTGGAATGGGAATCTGAAATTTGTAGGAACATCCATTCTTCTAGAGGAATGGAAGTTCACCTGTTTCTATGCATGGCAGAATCTTCTAAAATGGTGGTCCAATATTTTTCCTCATGTCATGTGCCAACAGTTTTAATTGGGAATAGTGATTACTAAAAGCCAAAATATTTGTATGAGTAGCATAGTTATATGACTGCTGGACCAGAATCACATATTAGGTGTGTGATTGAAAGAAAATTTATCTGAAATTTAAACATGCATCACTGGTTTCTTTCTTAAGAAAGAAAAAGAAGCACCAGGTTTTTAAGGTTTGTTCTTGTCTTTGTTTTTGTTTGATTTGTTTATTATTTATTTATTTATTTGTTTTTCTCCCATTGGTTAGTTTCTGGATTTTGATGAATCTGTTGCTTTGCAGCTCGTCTCACACTTCTTGGTGAAGGGTGTCGAGGGTCATTATCAGAGGTTCACAATCTCTGTTTTTACTGCTGCTACTTCAGCTACAGGTTCTGTGATTTGCTGGCCAAGCCCTTACTCCTTGGGTGAATACTTTTTGTTTATTGTTCATGTGCAGAAAATAATTAAAAAATACAACCTAAGAGGGAAGGTTCAAGGGCAACATCAAACTTATGCTTTGGGCATTAAAGAGGTAATCCACCTTTTTGTCTATTAATCTATATATGTTGGTGTATGTATATATATGAGTTTACTTCATTTTCTTTTCAGTTGGGTGTGGAGGTTCTTGTATGATGCTTCAGAATTATGCCTTTAATTCACACATCTTTGTTCTGGTATTGGTCGTTTTCCTCCTCTTTCATTTGGTATTAACTAAAACTGGATCAATTATTCAGGATCTTGTCTTATACTGTGTTTGCTTTCATAAATTTATTCCCATGAAAAGTTAAACAATAGAGAGTGAGGTAGATCAAAACTAACCTTGTCTCAGAAGTTACAGAATATGTAATTTATTATGGTTTAACTAAATACATGATCCTTCATACAAAGGAATGGAGAAATGAGATTCCTGTAGCCATGTCAGTGTAGCTGGGAAAGGGCTTAGTTGAGTTTAGTTGTGACTTATCCCCATGATGGAACTTGGAAAATGCACAAAAGGGCCTCGGGATTTAGATTAAGAAATGGACTGTTTATTTGGATTGTTATTTGTCCATGTTGTCTCATGTTCACTTTGTGGGGTTTGTGTTTCACAAAACCTTGTTCTCTTTTTGGGCGTAGGAAGATATTAATGTGTTGGGTTGTAAATAGATATCAAGATGTTTCCTAAAGCGTGCTTGATTCTCAAAGTGTGGCTTACCAGGTGTGGGAAATTGATGCAAGCAAACATAAACCTGGTTGTGTAATTCACACCTTGGGTTGGCCTTTGGATCACAAGACCTATGGGGGATCCTTCCTATACCATATGCAAGATAGACAGGTATGTTCCATTGCTTTAATTGCTTTATATGAATTACTGATACTAAAATATGTATCTTTTAATCAATTAGCTTGGCTTAGTGTTTTGAATTCATGTGGTTTTAGAATAGAGAGGATGTCTGATGGAAAAATTGCTAATTTAAATCCCTCTCTACACTCCCTAATAAAGGCAAGCATGCCTCTTTATGGCCAAAATCAATTAGCTTGGCATATTGTTTTGAATTCATGTGGTGTTAGAATAGAGGGGACGTCTAATGGAAAAATTGCTAATTTTAGATCCCTTCCTACATTCCCTGCTAAGGGCAAGCATGCCGCTTTATGGCCAAAAGAAGAGAATGATATATCATTGAGTGATAAATTTCTATCCATAGTATCTGTTTAAGAGACCTCCTCCTAACATTCAATTTAAGATGTGATTTTCCAATAATTGGTAGTTTGATATCTATCTTATCTGGGAGTCATATGATATATATCTAGGAGTGGAAATGAGTTGAGCCAACTCACGAGCGGCTCATGATTCCATTCGATAATTAGCTCAATGAGCCAAGGTCATGAATTAAATGAGCAATACATGGGCTAGACTTTTTGGCACATATAAAGTATGAGCCAATCTTGAGTTAAAGGATGTTTGACTCATTTAGTTCATGAGTTGGACTGCTTTTGATTAGTTTTAGCATGTTGCTAATTATTGAGTTCTTTGTAATTTTGATTTTGGAAATTTCCTTTATGATGTTAAACAATTTGCTGATGTTGGTTGGTTACTCTAGTTTTTTTATGCACAATGGTTTATTTTGATATTAATTTTAATTATAGATAAAGATATTTTGAATTTGTAATTATAGAGATGGTTTATTATTAGTTGTTTAAATGGGTTATCTAAATTATCAGTTTTTTAAATTTTGGATATACATGAGCTAATGAGCCAAGTTGAGTTGCTCGTGAGCTTAGTGCGAGCCGAGTTTGAATAAAAAAAAATGAAACTGGCTCACTAAAAAATGAGTTGAGTTATGAGCTGATGTAAATCTAAGTGACCCAAGCTTTAGCTGAGACTAGTTTAGCTTAGTTCAACTTGACTTATTTCCACCCCTATGTGAATGTATGACTCTCACAGACATCTTTGAAAAAATAAAAAGAAAAGGAAGAAATGACCCAAGTTCATCACATAAATATGAGAAATATGATGTCATGTATGGAAGGGATGTGATTGAAAGAGATGGAAAGCCATGGTTCAAAATTGTGAATGACAATGTTAAGGACATGATTGAAATAAGTTGACCATGTTTTAGGCAACTTTGTAAAAAGGGTTTGAGGGCCTAACTGAGAGAGAATAAACTTGAATGAGGCAATTTGTAAATGTTGGAAACATAGACGGCAAAATGTAGAAGGATGAATTGAAAAAAATGAAAAATGCAACATAGAATATGTTCTTGCCAAGGGAGGGAATCACTTCCAACAGAACCTACACTGAGCTCTAAGTATACAATAGCATGTCTAGAAAATAAAGCCTAGATGAGGCTTATGAGATGAATATATGTAGAAAAATGTAAACTCAGTTTGTGGTTTATACCTAGTCTTGCAGCTGACTTTGGTGATGATGTTGATAGCTCTCCTCTTTGATGAAGTTTTAAGCTTTAAGCTTTTGGTCCCTCTGAATTCTCCTCCTCTTCTTTAGGCCATGATGCTGAAGATGAAGACGTTGCATTTGCTTTTATGCGTGTATGTTTGTGATGAGAGTGAGAGTGAGGGAGAATAAGATTGAAGGAAGAGCTTGGAGAGGGATGAGTATGATAGCTTGTTGTGGCGTGTGTGCAAGGGGAGATAGACAAAAAGGAACGAGGGGATCCAATTCTAAACCATTCCCAAGGATTGGGGGGGGGGGGGGTGTAGTGCTAGGTTTGCTTAGCCCTTTGCCTGACAGATATCATGGATACAATCTGTGAACAGGGATTTTGTATCTGCAAAATCTGTATAGCCTATTCATGGATTGTATATGTGAAATCTGCACCATTTTGTCTGCAAAAAGACCAGCCAGCACCATATCCTTAGGAAGGAGCTGATTAACAGAGGTGATTAGACTGCCTTGCAGATTGAATCAACAAAGTCCACAGTGCTTGGTCCCCTTTGGAAATGGCTTAAGGCTGAAAGGCAGAGGAAGATTGGTTGCTTGTATGCTGTATACTTGTGCAATGCATTGTAAAAACGAGTCAAGGGAAGATTGCAAGCCTGGGGGATTTGTAGGTGCCTAAATCTAATTCTTATTTTGTAATGAAAGCATAATATATTTTAGATCATGCATGCTGTGTAAAGAGTTACAATTTTTAGATTGTGGATATCAAACATTGTTTGTTGGAGTGTTACTCCTATTTCTGTAACATTGGTTTAGCATGGCATTTTAGTTATCTTCATCATCATTAGCATCAAAATCTCTTGTTTTCACATTTCTGAGTATTTTCAAATATAGTTGAGCTCCACTAGGGAATAGTACAATTTATTGACTACTGTTGGATAACCGGACTCAGCTATTAAGTCAGTCAATATTAGATATTACAATCTTATTGATGTTATGATTTCTGATGCACTAGCATTAAAATTTTTGTTTCTTTGTTACAGGTTTCTATTGGTCTTGTTGTTGCTTTGAATTATCATAATCCTTTCTTGAATCCATACGAGGAATTCCAGGTAAGACTAAATGGTCTCTTTCTTTTCTATAAAGAGCAGTTAAGAGAGCTCTTATTTATAAAGTATTGCCTAGAAGTGTAGTAGAACTTTCCTTCGCTCTGTGTTCTTTACATAGACTGATGTGAGACTACACAAGGTCAATCATATGCTGCCTGCAGCCAGTTTAGTGGGGGTTAGAATTGCCTTAAGTTTGATTAACGTGGTTGAAGTATCTTGTAAAGGGTGAGAACTTAGTTTTCAAAGTGATATGTTATTGAATTTTCCTAAATAGGTTGTTGGAAGCTGTCCAAATTTGTTGCTAAATTGAAGGTTAGGTTGTTGGGTTGTCAGAAACTTAGTTGTTAAAAGTTATTGGCATTTGGTATATATGGGAGTCTATCCAAAAAGTAACGGAAAGAGTTACTTCTGATTTTGGATAAATATGACAGAAATGGGACCATACAGGATGTGAAAATGATAATCTTGATTAATTATTGAAGATAAAGAACTGTTTATTGAAATGTATATAGCAAAATAAGCTCTCATTCGAGCAATTTATTAGCCTTTTCTTTTAGTATTTTATTGGTGTTGCTGCCCTTTTTTCTTTCAAGTGTTCTTGCATCTTTTATTTTATTTTGTTTTTCATTTTGTTAGCGTCCTATTCATTGATAACTTAAGTACGAATGCCCTTGTATTTCTTCTGCTGTAAATTTCCAAAAGGTCTTATTCATCATTGACAAAGTAAACTTGAAGAAAACCAGTCGAATTTGAATTTTTATAGTAGCTGTTTTGGTAATAAATCTGTTGCGTAGATCTTCTAAGGTGAGAATTGAGAAAATGTTAAAATAGGAACACATTTAAGAAATTAATCTTTTACTAATGTTTTCTGTTCAATTTTATTTTTGTTTTTTGATTTTTTTAAATTATTATTCTATGATCTTCTTCTCAGTCATAACTATAGACTTATTTCCTTTGGTATCCCCTCACCCATAAGTCTTCCAGAGTTCTTTCCTTGGATGTATTATCTTGCTTTGGCTTTCAAGTACTTTTGTGTCACTAGTTCAAGAATATGGAATCTTAACGGACCCTCTTTATATTACTTTCTTCTGTAGAAACTCAAGTGTCATCCAGCCATCAGACCTCTTCTTGAAGGTGGAACTGTCCTCCAATATGGTGCCCGTACGTTGAATGAAGGCGGGTTTCAGGTGCATGAAAACTTCCCTTTACCTGGGAATTATAAGAAAATTGGAAGGCTGCCCTTTGCCTACCTGCTTGGAAAATCATTGAGAAGTGGGTGCCCAAAAAAAAGATTGCCTTGTATGATTATTAGTTTCAGAATCATTAATGGCTGTTTTCATAAAGCAAGTTCCTGTACCACCAGCAAAAATGACATAGATTCCTGGCAAGGCTGAAAATTCAAGGGTGGCAGCTTTTTCATGTTGTGTTAGTATATATAATATTATATATGTTAAGATATTTACATATACATATATACATGTATATTTATATGTATCATGAATACACACACGTGTGCATGCACACAAAATTGGCATGGTAATGTATTTACAACATATTCCTTGTTGGTTATATTCAAATATAATTACAATGCCATTTAAATTTCAGTCTATTCCATATCCAGTATTCCCAGGAGGAGCAATTGTTGGATGTTCAGCTGGTTTCCTAAATGTGCCAAAAATAAAGGGAACGCACACTGCCATGAAATCCGGTCAGTATTATGTTTATAATGCTTGGTCTTTGATATTCCTGTATCATGAGCCATTCGATATGTTAACCAGTATACAAACATTTATTATTTCCATAATAAGTACTAAATAATCCATGAGAGGCATTTCAAATAGTTAATTATAATAAGATACCTCTGTGTTATTGGATGGCTGCTTTTTTGCTGATTGTTTATGGTGGGAATTTGGATTTTTTCCATTCATTTTCCGCAAGGTACCTCTGTGTGATTAGATGTGCTGATTGTTTATGGTTGGATTTGGATTATTTCAATTTTGATTTTTTGCTTTTATAGCCTGAGTCTACAGTTTTCCACTAAAACAATTCACATGTTTTCCTCTTCATTGTCATCATAATGTTCTTCTTCTTCACCAGAAGATGAATAGACACCTAATGTCTGCCATTAATGTAGTGCAATGCAATTGTACATTCCCACTGGGAGGTTATATGGAAAGAAGCACATATCTATGAAGTCTTTGTTTGTCTTTGTATGTGTGGATGGCCTATGTCCAACCACTCCACACTAAATGCTGTAAATTTATCCAAAATTCTGCAGGAATGCTGGCAGCAGAGGCTATATTTGGTGTACTTTATGAAGGTTTAAATATGGAAATATATTGGGAGAAGTTGAAGAATTCATGGATATGGAAAGAACTTTATCGGGCTCGAAATTATAGACCAGTATGTGTAGTAATTTATTTCATCTTTGGTTTCTTACTTAAGGGGTGCTTGGTGCAGTGGCTATTTTACCACAACTTGGGCACCCTAGGTCTGAGGCTATATACCTCTCTGCATGAGGGGTTAAGAGTGGATGTTTTTGATCCTCACGGAGGGCTGCTATGAAATTGGTTTTCTTGGCTGCTATGAAATTGGTTTTTCTTAGGTTCTCTAGTTTATGTCATAATTACAAATGATTATTATGGCAAGCTTCCGGTTGAAGTGAATTATGCATATAATTTTTCAGACCTTTGAACTTATTTTAAGTGGTCAAGAAATAGTGCTTCTTGTATTTGTAAATATTGCTTTCAAACCCGATCCAATATATCTCGTAGTTATGACCAGAATGTAAGAGAAAAAATTGTTCCAGCTCTGCATTTATCTGATGGAAAAAAGGCAGGAGAGCCTGCAAATAGGATAGCAAACATGGGTTAAATATGCAGAACCATGGTTGGTAGGAAGATATGACATTTTATTTTTCAAACTAATGTTATAATACTTTTCCTCCATGTAGGCTTTTGAATATGGACTTTTCCCTGGTTTGGCTATCTCTGCTTTGGAGCAGTAAGCATCACCTGTCAAATTTATTCTTGTGCTGCTTCTGTCATGAGGGTTCTGTTAGTTGGAATATCTATAACTGGTAATCCTGTGTGGCAGTTACATTCTGAAGGGAGGATCACCGATAACGCTGAAGCATAGCAAACCTGATCATGAAGCAACAGAAGTAAGGATCTAGCACACAACATAATAAGATTTTTAATTTAATACTTTGAGCTTTAGGTTTAGCACAAATATTGCTAGAAGAAAATTAATAGGCTGGAAAGTGGGTTGTATTTATTTCATAAAGGAAAGATCAGAAATGACAGAAGGCAGTGGGTTTGATTGCATAAATACATGTATGTGTGTGTGAGTGTGTATTAAATTGTGGATGTGTAATTCAAGATTGCTTATTAGGAGGAAGGGTACAACACTGTTGGAAGAAGCAGATAATAAAAGTAAATTTTTTAACTTGTTTTCTGCAGGTACTAGGTTTTGCCGTTCATTCTTTGACCCTCCTATGTCTAGAAACGTTGGCAATAACTTAATGCATTCTGATTATGTCAAAAACACATATAAGTTACATTGCATGGAAAGTATTTTTAAAGTGATTATTGAATGCTCAACCCACTGGATCTGATTTTTGTATGTTGAAGTTTCCTAGTAAAAGCTGAGAATTTGGTACGCTTGCGGTATTTTGGAATTTCTCATGGCTCAATAGGATAGCATGACTTTGCTGTCCAAAATTCTGACCAACTAATTTGTGTCTGGGGATAGATTACTAAGCAGTAAGCATATATTTTGAAGCGTTAGTGATCTGCACAATCAGAACCCTGCTAGGTTATTGTTTATTTCTCCATGCTATGCCCCAGTGACTGGAATGGCGTTTTTCTTGGAACCACCTACTTATCAGTGCATTCTTGCATTTCCAGGAAGCACACTTACATTCTCCAATTCAATATACAAAACCAGATGGGATTGTGTCTTTTGATGTGCCCACTTCTCTATACAGGTTTCTAACCGTACCTGTTATTCTATATTACTTCATCTCTCTCTGTTCAACTCATTTCTCCATGTTTTAACTTTGATGCTTTGTGGCCATAACTGTGTTTTTTAAGAAGCAAAATTGTCCTATTACTAGACCAACAGTTAAAAATTAAAAATAATCTGCAGCACTGGATGTAGAAGCTCTGCAATATGGCATGCTTGTAGGAAACATGGTTTCAGCCCACTACTAAAAATCTGGAGACCTATATTTTTACTGAAGAGCATCTACTTTTGACACTAGAATGGACTTCTGCTGGGATCATATGGAGTTATAAAGATTCTACATTTTGTTTGGCTTATAAGCGGCTCTTGGGTGGAAGCTTTGGGAAGATAATAAAATCAAACACGCTAGGCATTTGAATGGGTAATTAGATTTTCTTAGGGGTCTCAATCTGCACCCCTTTTATTCTCTTCCACAGCTTTATGCAACAGGCTATGGGACCTTCCTTTCTGGACGAGGCTGTGGAAGACCACGTAAACATGGGAATTTTAACAGTGCTCCTCTTCCCCTTTTTGCAGCCAAAAGCCGGCTATAGGCCAAAATAGAAGGGGTTGAAATTTATCATCACTTTGTGTGGATTTAATCTATGGCTTCTAGCAGAGAATATGGACTTGATGGAATTCTATGACTGAATAAAACTAATATAACTAGTTGATTTTGATATCACATCTTAATGCTGCAAAACCATTACTAGAGACTTGTATGACAAGCAGTAAAATGAGAACTGAGTCTATTTTCCTTCACTTGCTATGATATGTTTTTCTTCTTTATTTGATCATCTAGGAGCAACACTAATCATGAACATGACCAACCGGCTCATCTTCAATTAAGAGACCCCAAGATTCCTGAACTTGTAAACTTGCCGAAGTATGCTGGACCTGAATTGCGATATTGTCCTGCACGTGTATACGAGTAATATACTTATTCAGAGCAATACTTTTAGAGGTGGGATCTGTAAGCAATTGATCTCTGATTCTTCTTTATGCTTGGAATGTGTTATAGGTACGTCCCAGGTGATAAGGGTAAGCTGAAGCTACAGATCAATGCCCAAAATTGTCTGCATTGCAAGGTATTACTAGGATCTGTATGGAAGAACGATTACAACTGCTTCTAGTAAATATCTTGTGCTGATAAATTATGTCTTTATTATAAATGCTTATGCATTATATATATTAGAGGGGCAGTGGGTTGGGGAAGGATTCAAAAATAGGAAAGCAAAACAATTCATTCAGTTGGATGCTCAATTATTCTTCTGCAATGCATCTGGGGAGAGAGAATGTCCACATTGTTTGCTCGCTGAAGCTCTGGTTTATTTGAGAAAAGCTCCATATATGTGAATAAGAGGCCTTACCGTGAAGAAAAATGTTATGTGGTAAAGAGTGATATGGGTTTTTCTTTTTTCTATGTTTTCCTGGATTTTACTACTACTACTATTCTCACTTTGGAGTGTCCCTTACACCTTTTGCAAATGAATTAAATGTTATCCCTTAGTATTACTATAAATCAAAATAGTATCAAAATAAACTATAACAAATGACTTCAAAAAGGACTTCATTCATGACTTGCATGAATGTGCTTTGGGGCATTGGACAGGCCAAAGGGCATTACTAAATACTCGTATGACCCATCTAGTGTTTTAGAAGTAGTCTTCCATTCATCTCCTTCCCTATTCTCATCTCAAGTCCTCTCTATTCCTAATTAGATGGGACTTGGCGTATGTGCATTGATTATTGTGAGTTGAATGCCAAGACAATAAATGGCAAAGTTCCCATAGCAGTTATTGATGAATTACTAGATGAATTATTTGGAGCAAAATATTTTTCCAAGGTTGATCAAGGATCTAGCTATCATTAAGTTGAAATAAGGGAAACTGATGTGGAGAAGACTGCTTGTTGAGCACACCATGGCCACTTCGAATTCCTAGTAATGCCTTTTGGGCTAACATTGCCCCATCAACTTCTCAAGCCTTGAAGAACCAGGCATTTTGTGTTTACTTAAGAAAATTTGTTTGCTGTATGTTTTGATGGCATTCTTGTCTATTAGTCAAACTTGGATGGAGCACTTGTATCACCTGTGAATAGTCTTCCAGTCACTTTTAGAGCACCACCTCTTTTTGAAGCAATCTAAATGTTCTTTTGGCCAAACTTGAATTGTTTATTTGGGCCATATCATCATGGGGGAAGGTGCTTTGGCTGATCCAAATAAAATTTCAGCCATAACAGATTGGCCACAGCCCACAACTATCAGGGGATTATGAGCATTTTTAAGGCTCACTGGACAATATGCAAATTTGTTCCCAGTTGTGGCACTGTAGCCACACCTCTCACAGCAATGCTCTGCAAAAATTCCTTCCTGTGGACACAACAATCTTCAATGGCTTTTGACCAACTTAAAGTCGCCATGACTAGAACACCTGTGTGAGTCCTTCTGGATTTTTCTCAGCCCTTTACCATTGAATGTGATGCTTTTGACAATAGGATTGGTACAGTTTTCTTGCAGAATAATAAACCCAAGCTTATTTCAGCAGTGCTATGGCAAGGAGTCACCGAAATCTACTAGCTTATGAGAAGGAGCTCATTGACCTTGTTAAAGCCATCAAACACTGGAGTTTCCTGTGGGGACAACACTGTGGTTCGCACTAACCATTACAGTTTAAAGTTTTTACTAGAGCAAAAAGACTTGACCCCATCACAATAACATTGGTTTGGCAAAATATTAGGTTTCTCATTTTCAATGGAATACAATGTTGGCAAGCTGAACACAGTGGCAGGTTCACTTTCTCGGCGTGATCTAGACAAAGCTATTCTGCTTGCTACATCAATGCCACAGTTGAGCCTATTTGATGAAATTTAAGACAAGCAGCAAAATTCCATTTAACTGCAACAACTCATCTCCAAAGTCCAAGAGGGAACCGTGGCTGTTCCATTGGGTGTGGAACAATGCCTGTTATTTTGTAAAAATTGGGTCTATTTTGTTCCAACTTCCTCCACTATCCAAACTTGCATGGCAGCACTACATAACCAGGGGCATGAGGGGCATCGGGAAACAATTCTCTATATTGCCAAAGATTTCCATTGGAGGGGCATGAAATAAAACATGGACTTCAGTATTTGTCAATGTCACAAATCAGAAACACTGCAGCCTACCAATCTTCTTGAGCCATACTGATACCACATGATGCGGTATGGTAGATAGCAACTCAAGCAATAGAATTAGAGAAGAGAAGTAGGGTAGATTGAAGTGGAACAATAAAAGAAGGATTTTAAGGTTTAGAAATCTCTCAATCTGAAATTTTCATATAAGACTAAAAGCTGTTGAATACAAAGCCCTAGAATTATTTATACTTGGGATATTAACATATTACTAAACCTAACCCATTCTTTGAAGGCCCAAGTAATCTTAAGTCTAAATCTCATTTGAAAGCCAAATGTTAGTCATGTGATCACTTATTACAAATAAAAACATTCTAAATAGTTGCATGCAAGTCATGTGAAATAAAAACACTCTTCAAGTCAAAATAAAACATACTGAAATTTAAAAAAAAAAAAAAACATAAATATAAATTGTTAAACAAACTGGTCCTGCATCATTCTCCCTTCTTAAAAGGAAACCAACATACAAAAACATTAGAATCTTTGGTATGTATTTCAAGTTCAATCTGCTGCAATTCATCTTTTGCCACCCATGTACTTTTAATGGCAGGCTTACCCAACCATTTTTCTAAAAATCGCCGATACTAGTGTCCACGCCTTGCTTCGCCTCTTTCACATCAAAAACAATAATATCTTGTTATGCTGTGGGCAACATGATCTGCATTATTACTTGCTCGTCAGACCCTTCAAGAAGGTATAAATCTGCTACATTGAAAATGGGGCTGAATTGTAATTCAGGAGGTAACTCTATTAGGTAGGCATTGGCTAATTTTCTTCAGAACTTTATAGGGTCCAAACTTCCTATGATTCAGCTTGTGACAAGAACCCTTTGGAACATGTTCTTGCCTTAAATGCACAAGAATTGTGTCATCCTCTTCAAATTCCTAAGCTTGATGGTGTTGGTTTGCAATAGCTGCATAGGCCTCATTGTTAGTCTTTAAAGCTTCCTAAACCTCCTTTTGAACTTGCGGATCATGCTTAGCAAATGCCAATCCATCATCATTTACTCTAGCTTCTAGTGGTAATGGTACTAAATCAAGCAAATGTTATGGCTTTAGACTGTATGCTGCTTCAAATGGAGTCCTTTTTATGGTCCGATTCACTAAATTGTTGTAAGCAAATTCTGCCTGTGGTATAGTAAAATCCCAGGACTCTACGTGATTTCCAACAAGACACCTTAACAAATTTCTTATGCTCCGATTTACTATGTTTTACCACTAGTTTGTGGATGGCTAGCACTGGAAAACTATAAGTGTGTCCCAAGCTTCCTCTACAAAGATCTCCAAAAGTGCCTTATGAATTTGACATCCCTATCGGAAACAATTGAAGTAAGAACACCATGTAGTCTTACCACTTTAGAACAGCTTAGCAATATGAGAAGCATCAGCAGTTCTAGAGCATGGAATGAAGTGTGCCATCTTTGGAAGACAAGACAAAATCCATGCTCAAATGGATCCATGGCACTTCTAGTTTAGGCAATGGGGTATATAACCTCGTATTTTGTGAGTTTCTCTTGCCAAATTGACAAGTTGAACACCTTTTCACTAATCTATCCATATCGTTTAACATCTTGGGCCAATAATAGTGATTTACCACTATTTCCATTGTTTTATCCCTTCCAAAATGTCCTCCCCAACCATTCTCATGGAGTTCTTTGATGATCTGCTTTCATAAAGACCCCTCTGGTTGTATAGTTTGTTACCTTTAAATAAATATCTGTCATATAACTGGAGAGGTAATCTTTTTTGCAGCCATTGACCCTTGCAATTTTCCCACTATATGATAGAAATAAGGATCAGTTTGGTAGTGATTTTCCACTTCTTCGAAACCTGTAACTTGAGTGCTTATCAGAGTTAATAGAGAGAGTGCCTACTTAATGCATCAGCCATCATGTTGGATTGTCCAGTTTTGCATTTGAGTGTAAAGTTGAACTCATCAAGAAAGGAGCTCCACTTAACATGACACTCACTAAGCTTATTCTTGGAACTCAAATAGCGCAATGCTTGGTGGTCGGAATAAACAACACTCTCCTAGTAAGCTAGGTAATGCTGTCAATGTTGAATAGCCCACACTAATTCTTAAAACTCCAGGTCATATGTCAAATGCTTACGCATAGAATCAGACAATTTTTTACTGAAAAGCTCCACTGGTTTTCCTTGTTGATTGATTGCTGACCTAATGCCCAATTGGGATGCATCACACTCTACAACAAATAACTTCTCAAAGTCTGGCAGCACAAATTTGGTGCTTCTGTCATAATAGTTTTAATATGTCCAAAGGCACTTTGTGCAGATTTTGTCCAAATAAAGCTATTGCTCTTTAAGTATTCAGTAATTGGTCTCATAATAGAGCTAAAATTTGTGATAAATCTCCTATAGAATGGAGCTAGATGGTGGAAACTTCAAATATTTTCGATTGTTTGAAGAACTGGCCACTCTTTAATAGCACATACTTTCCCAAGATCTGGTTTTAGTCCCTGAGATGAAACAATAAAACCTAGAAACACCACTTCATAGCTCAAGAGAAGTAACACTTTTTTGGGTTTATAAAGAGCTTCTCACTTTGGAGTGTCCCTAACAACTTACACAAATGAATTAAATATTCTCCCTTGGTATTACTATAAATCAAAATAGTATCAAAAATAAACTACAACAAATGACTTCAAAAAGGACTTAAATACCTCAATCATGACTTGCATAAATGTGCTTGGGCATTGGACAGGCCAAAGGGCATTGCTAAATACTCATATAGCCCATCCAGTGTTTTAGAAGTATTCTTCCATTCATCTCCTTTGCTTAATCTGAGTTGGTGATAATTACTTCTTAGATCAATATTTGAAAACACCTTTGCACCAGCCAATTGATCAAGCATTTCTTCTAATCGAGGACTAGGGAAACGATATTAATCATGATCTTATTGATAGCTTGGCTGTCCACACACATTCTCCAAATACCGTCTTTCT